CATGCGTGGAAAGCACAGAATTCGTAAAAACCGGGTAAGGAGCGGGCGCGGGTGTGCGGGCGTGCGCGGGCGCGGGTGGGGGCTTCGCCCTTCCCGGAAGTTACTTACTTCCGGGTTCAGCGACCAACCGGATCGCAGGGACCGGTGCGAACCGGTCGAAACCCACCCCTGCTGTTTTTCTGAAAAACGGGCAAAAAATGAGCCATATTTTGGAAAAATGGAGCCCTGCTGAAGCCTGCAGAGTGTTCGTGTGGGCCAGGGAGGACAAAACTTTTTTTTTTTCTTACCTCTTCAAAATCTTGGTGCGTCTTATACACTGGTGTGTCTTATAGTCCAAAAATTACGGTACTCTTTAGCATGTATGTAACTGGCAAAGAACAGACTTGGGAGTGCAATTTCACTTCAGAATCTTATGTAACAGCTCTGAGAAACCCTGAAACAGCCTTTATTCCTTGCACTGCTGCCTTGAACTATGCTGTAATTCCTGCAGCATCTCGGAGCTTCAACTTGACGGTCCTCTGCACTAAATGGTTTTTGTCACTTTTTGACCCACTTAAGGAAAATTTCTGTATTCATCTGAAACAAATGGCTATTTCCATGGAGGAAATAACCCCACCCCTATAAGAAAATAACTCACAGATCATAGTAGAATTAGCTTCATTGTTCCTTAGATTTTTGGCCAAGAATTTCTTTTAGTTGTTAAAGGGACCAGAGAAAGTTGATGAATGGATTATATACATTTTTCATTTTACTTTAAAATGCACTGAATAAGACCATTAAAATATGTGCTACACAGGGGTGTAAAGATTCAAAACTGATGTTGCATTTGAAACCATCTTTGGGTTCCACCTGGTCATCTCTTACGGAATACTCCCATTTTTTTCTATTTCCAATAACCCATTCTCAGAAAAGGAGATTGCTATTGTTATTTTATAAAACACATTTTTACTTACGGTAATTGTACTTTTTTTGAAGAGGAATAAGCAAAGCCTCTATCTGAGAACATTCCATGCCATCAACAAGTTGTAACCCCCAGAATTATTATGGGAAGCCATTACAGTTAAACTCGCATAAATCAATGTCATTTTGTAATCTAGCTGTTGTGGCCTGGCAGGAGCCGTTGGCCACCAGGTGGCGGCAGAGCATTGGATCAGAGGGAGTGTTCAGGGAAACACTTGGGAGTTGTTGCAGGATGTACCCCGTTGAAGGGTTACTCGCCGGAAGGAACAACTGAGTACTTACAGGAGATGACTGAGAGCAGCTGTTGCTCATTGGGGTCCTCTCCTGAGTATAAAGAGATTGCTGGTGCCACACCCTTGTTGCAGA